CATAACAGACCACACCCAACGGCAGAAACTCATTAGGATTGGCTACATTAGGGGTGTGTGGCCTAACATGCAAAGGAGTTCCTGCTACAAAAAAATCCCTGGGTTTTGACAACAAAGTAAACAGAATAAGAAGCAAAAGGTGGGTGTGGCTGGATGACCACACTTCTGGTAACATGGGGGTGCAGCCTAATGTGCTAATGAGCTGTGCTATCAGGGGTGTGGCCTAATATGCTAATGAGTTTCTGCTGTTGGGTGTGGCCTATTATGCTAATGAGTTCCTGCTGGGCTTTTTCTACAAAAAGAGCCCTGCAGGCAACTATTGTTCTCCTGGTCCTGTCTTCTTCCCCCTTCCTTTGCCTGCTTTGTGACATATCTGGAGCCCTTCCCTGGCTTGTATTCACCTTTCCCCCTGTCCCATCTGCTGTAAAAGAAAGTCTCTTTCCACCTCTAATTCCGCTGCTCAAACTGCAGCATGTTTTCCCACTGAGTTTCTGCACAATATTGTCATGCAATCATTCATTTTCTTGGTTTCCCCCTTCCTCACCCCATTTTTTCGCACAAATGGGGTGAAACATTTAGTAGAATCTTTCTGGAATAATTGTACTCAGTCTTTAGTTATGGTGTGGACAGGGAAGTGCAGGTTCTTGAACTCTCCAACCCACATTGGAACTATTTTCCCTTGATATCCATTCATGCCCACAAATCCCCATGCTACCAGTAGCCTTTGGTCAGTTTTTTAAAAATCGGTAGCAAATTGTGTGGCAGTTTAATACGTCGGCAATATAGCAACTACCAATTTTTTAAAAGCCAGCAAATACTCCTCCAATGCTACGAGGACCGCTAATCTCCAGGTGGGGCCCAGTAATCCACCAGGATTACAACTGACCCCCAGACTACAGAGATCAGATCCCCTGGTAAGGTAAAGGTAATGATTTACTGATGTAGCCTTAGGCCATAACATCTCAGCAAAATCTCCACAACATACAATCAATTCAGAACAAGATTAAAACTATCCATCAAGGCAAAATACATTTTATGAATTGACAATATACATCTATAAGGTTAATAAGGCATATATGCAAAGTCCTGAAATATAAAAGCTATAATTTAGCTAAAATTCTAAAAGATGCACCCAAGGTTAATGTCTTCCTTATGTTTATTGAGAGAAAAATTAAAATAGCCACCTTATGAGTAACTTCTGGGATAACATCGGCAAGTAAAAAATTTAAACATTCCTCTGCAGAGCTGGATAAATTAATAAGAAAGGGGTACAACGGTTTCTTGCGAATGGACTCATAGTGAGGACAGTATAGCATATAGTGGATAATGTCTTCCACATGATTTAGGTTGCAGGAGCAGGAGCGCTGATCCACAGGTAATGTGTGGAATCTACCCTGAAGATATCCCCTGGAGAAAATGGCTGCATAGGAGACTGAATTCTACGGCATTATACTCTGGTGAAGTCCCTCCCGTCCGCAAGCTCTGCTCTCTCCGGGCTCCACCCCCCACATCTCACGTGTTCCCCAGTCTGGGGAATGGCGTGGTTTTCCCAGCACACATCAAACAGTTGTGCAAACGTGTTCAGCATAATCATAAGAATCAAGCTTCCTCAAAGAACTGTGTCTAAAATACAACACAACCTGGCCGAGGCAATCTGAAACTCGAAATGGACACAATTGCTCTCTATGTGCCAGTTCAAAGTCGAATCACAAAGAGAAAAGCCAGCCTTATTTGAAAATGGCCCAAGAAAATGTTCCTCAAAGGACATTCATCTACTACATCTTTTTTAGTTGTACGCCTTTTTAAAAAACATAGTCTTAGAATGTAACATGTAGGCTTGCCAGCTCTAGGTTGGGGAAATACCTGGAGATTTGGGGGGTGGAGCCTGGGGAGGGGAGGAGAGGGACCTTAACAGGGTACAGTGCCACAAAGTCCACTCTCCAAAGGATCCATTTTGTTGTGTATGCTGACTGCCACTGGGGGGCCAGCAGACACCCGAGCTTGAAGCAGGAATAACAATGGGGACTAGGATCCTAGTCCCTCCACTGGGGGAACCAATGGGACCGTGGCGGGAGATTCAAACCTGCCAATAGGACCCAGGGGTGTGTCCTTTGGTTGTGTATATAGTTGGCCGTTGTTGGTTGTCTTTGTTGTGTACTGAATAAAGCGTGCTATGCACTACGTCGTTGTTTGTCGTTCGTCCATGCGGCAACCCACTACACAATAACACGCATCTCCGGTCTTGTAAGGGGGCATGGCCCGAGGAGGAGGAGGAGGGCACAGGCAGGAGCAGGGCACCCTGGGAACCGGGTGGGGGAAATATAAGGGATGGAACGGAGGAGGCCGGGGATGACTCCTGGATGACGGCAGCTCAGAGAGAGGGAGAGCGTCATCCAGCAGGGACGGGAGCGTAGGGAACGGTGCTGTAACCACCCTCCCCCGTCCAGGTGTCTGAGGCCGGCACACTCCAGGGGGGAATGGAAGGGGACAAGGCAACGTGGCCACACTTGGTGGAGTTGGGAGCTTGAGCGACGAGGACAGTGAAGGGTCGTTGTCGGGCTCCTGTGACAGCGATGATAACACAGTCCCTCAGGGAGGGTCTGTGGCTCAGTGGCAGAGCATCTGCTTGGCATGTGGAATTCCCAGGTTCAACCCCCAGCATCTCCATTTAAAAGGAAAGACCTCTGCCTGACACCCTGGAGAGCCACTGCCTGTTTGAGTAGACAAAATGATCTGGATGGACCAAGGGTCCATCTGATTCAGCATAAGGAAGCTTCATGTGTTCATGTGACACTGCCTGGAACTATGTGGCCTCTGGGCAAGAAAAGTTCCTGCCATTTTGTCTCCCTGGTCCCCCCTTCTTGGCAGCCATGTTCATATCTGTACAACAAGCTATACCTGTTCTAGGCAACTGTTGTCTTTTCCTCCTCTGCATCTAATCACCTAGGAAGTCATTCCTGATAAAGATATAGGAGAAGCTGCGGCCGCACGGGCCACATCGCAAAGGTCTGCCGCTCCAGGGCAGCTCGCCCGAAAGCAGAGACCTACTTCGAGGAGGACGCCGGCACTGAGGACCTCTACCTTCTCACCCAGACAGCGGAGAAGGTATTGCAACTTCCCGGCAAGTCACCCTCCCCCAAGTTCATGGCCACCGTCACGATAGAGGGGTCCCCGTGTAAGATGGATTCAGGTTCCGCGGCCTCAATAATCTCCACGGCAACCCTGAGACGCCTGTGTCCCAAGGGGGGACCCCGATTGTGCCCAGCCCAGGTTACACTCATGGACTTCCAGCGTAACCCGGTGCCAACAAAGGAAGCCAGACCCTTCCGGGTGCAGTTTAAGAACTTTAAAAAGAACCTGGACTTGATTGTGGTCGAGGGCGACCTAGTCAGCTTGCTGGGCTGGACCTGGTTTGAACCCCTGGGCATCGCAGTGGAGGGGGTACAGGCCTGCACGTCCCAGGACTTCACAGGAATCTGCCACAAATTTCCCACCGTGTTTGACGATTCTCTGGGCCGATATACGGGGGCCCCGGTGACCTTGCGCCTAGACCCCTCGGTGGCCCCCATAAGAATGCAGGTCGGTTCCGCTTATGGTTAAGCCAAAAGTCGATGCGGAACTGGATCGCCTAGTATCACAAGGCATCCTGGAGCCAGTCTCCCACGCGGCGTGGGAGACTCCCATAGTCGTGGTTAATAAACCTAATGGGGCAGTCCGCATCTGCGCGGCCTATAAATGTACTTTGAACAAGGCGCTACAGGACCACACGTACCCGGTCCCTGTAGTTAGCCACGTGCTGGCCACCTTGGGCGGGGCGAAGATCTTTGGTAAACTGGATCTCGCCCAAGCTTACCAACAGTTGCCAGTGGATGAGGCAACAGTGAAAGCGCAAACCATAGTCACACACCGGGGGGCATTCTGTGTGAAGCGACTGAGCTTCGGAGTAAGCGTGGCGCCTGGGCTGTTGCCCGGGCTGTTCCAGCAACTGATGGACTCTCTCCTTAAAGGGATCCCCGGCGTCACCCCCTTCTTCGACGATGTGTTGATCGCCGCCGCCACACCCGCTGACTGTGCCGCTCGCCTCCGCGCCGTGCTCAGCCGTTTCCAGGACGCTGGGCTGAAGGTGAAAGTGGACAAGTGCCGCCTTGGGGTGCCGTCAGTGAACTTTTGGGGGTTCACGGTGGACGCAGAGGGCCTCCACCCAACCCGGGAGAAGGTGAAGGCGATAGTGGAGGCACCCCTGCCAAAATCGAAGGTAGAACTGCAGGTGTTCCTGAACTTCTATCACGCCTTTCTTCCCCATAAGGCAGCGGTGGCGGAACCACTCCACCGTTTTTTAGACAGGCAAGCCCCATGGGTGTGGGGCCCCCGGCAGGACGCCGCGTTCAGGTCCGTCAAAGAACTCTTGGTTTCAAACGCGGTCCTAG